GACCCACCACCCCCTTCTGTACAGCCTTCAAAGACAGCTGAGAAGTTGGGCTAAGGGTGGAGAGTGGGGCTCAGAGCCACCTGCTGGGTGGGCACCCTCCTCCTATGCCCACCAGCTGGGTGAGTTTGCAGTTCCTTATCCTCTTTACACCCCTCATTCCTCTCCTATAAAAATGAGGTAATGACATTGCATATCTAAGGTTTGTACAGGCATAAACCAGTCCATCCTGCTGATATACCAAAATGTTAACTATCGCATTCATTATCTCTATCATAAAACCACGAAGGGCAGAAGCCACAGACATTCCATTTTTGTATACCCCTCTGTAACTTTATCAGCATTACCCTGGACAAAAGTCAATGTTCAGCAAATATGTGTGTAAAAAAAAATACATATGAGAACAGAAAAGAACTTAGATAATAGCGTCTGAGTACTCAAGTCAAAGTCTCCACCTAATAAAACCCACTTTAACTGTAGAGGGTCCCTCTGCCTTTGATTACCTCCAGTGTAAGGGAGTCTACAGGAGAGTTTTCAGAAGACATCAAGCAGGGACCCACTCTGAAACCACTTTTCCCACTGTGTTCACAGCACCCCTACAGCATTCCAGGTGCTCCCCTAGGGCAATGGGAAACCCATTGTCTACTGAGGCAGTCCTAGGGCCCATGAAGCTGTCAATCATATGTGCACAGAGAGGTACATAGAAATGCTAACTTAGGTATACTAAAAGAGTGAGAAAAAGACAAAAGCACTCTGTCATGGCTTTGATACCTCTTTCAAACTAGACTCTGACCTATAAGGACCCAGAGAATTTAGCAAGGACCAAATTCCAGGAGGAAAAAAAACTAATTAATTTTTAAATTTTGAGATCTTAAAAACTCACATTCTTACGATTTAAGATTAAGAGAAAGAATTTCAAAGGGTCATTTGTATCATTGTCAAATTTTGCCTTAGACTCTCTGATTTAGACATAGCCTTTGCGTAAGGTAAATCCCCCAGACCCTTACCATCTCCATATTCCACATGGAAGAAACAGGGAAAGGAAGGTGACTCAGTCATCTTTTCAGTCCCTGTGACCAAAGGACCTGAAAAGAATAACATAGGAGAGGAGACGTGTGTCTTGACTCATGGTTTCAGAGGTTCAGTTGGCCGACTTCATTGCTCTGGGCCCAAGTTGAGGCAGGACATCCTGCTGCAAGAGTGTTGCTGAGGAAAGCAGCTCAGGACATTGCGACCAGGAAGGAAAGAGAGCTCTGCTCACCAGGGACAGAATATAAACATCAGAGGCAAGTTCCCAGTGACCCACCTCCTCCGGCCACACCCTACCTGCCCACAGTAATCACCCTCTGGGTGAATCTGCCGATTAGGTTGAGGCTCTCATAACCTAATAATGTCACTTCTGAGCATTTTTGCATCGTCTCATACATGAGCTTTTGGGGTACACCTTGTATCTAAATTATAACAACAGGTTGCCATAACTCACCCAAGTTCAAAGAGCTAAAAACAGATGCAGCAGCCACATTTGGATTAAAGTCTGAAAAACTTGGCACTGACTCTGAAATCTTGCTCTCTTCACGTGAACTGCAGTTTCCACTTTGAGGTTGAGATATAAGAAACAAATCCATTCACTGACCCTCGCAGTGGCCCTTTTGGTACTTTAAGAAAAGCTGCCATCCCTGCCCCCAGCCCTCACATCAAGCCCAGGCCCTCTTTTTGTCTCATCTTGCGACTGAGCCCTGGCATTTTCTTCAATTATCCCTTCTGTAATGTGATTTCAAGGGCCCTCTGCACCCTGAACACTCATTCTCTGGCAGAACATGTGCCAGTTCCCAGTGTTACCCCTTGGCCTTGAGTGCAACAGAATTTGGGGACATGGTGACAGGGTCAGGTCCATCATTCGTTGCCTGATTTTCATACAGACCAGCAGGCACTAATCTTCCACTTCTTAAGTGAATGCTAGTAGAAAGCAGTGGCATAATGGGGTGAGAACCAGCCCATGCCCCACACTCGGGAGAGGAGGGGACCCAGGCTGATTGGAGATCCCAGATGCATCCAGGTTTCTGACAAACAGTAGCTGCTTGGGCCCAGGTGATGTTCCCAGACAGGAGCCTGGCTCTCTTCAAGAGAAAGAGAAACCCAATTTCCTACTTGAAATGATGCATTTAAAAATACTTTTGCCAGCCTCTCATTTAATTTTGATATTCAGTTCCCAACATCAAATTAAATCAAAGTATTGGCCAACATTACCGTCAATCAAACTGCCTGCTGTATTTTGACATCTTTCTGGAAAACATGCCCCACTGGATGCAGGTGAGTGTTGTATGAGCCCCTCGGAGGCCTCCTTGAACAGTGGACATAGGCTGTTATGGGTTAGATCTGGAACATACCCCAAAGACCTGGGTGCTGAAGCAGCTGTGTCCAGAGGTTGGAGAAGCGAGTGGACCATGAGGGCTCTTACCTCATTGGTGCATTGGAGATTTGATGGCAGAATTTGGAGGTGGGATCTAGTTGAAGAAGTAGGTCCTTAGGGGTGTGCTGGGGGACTCTATCCTGTCCCTGGCCAGTTCCTCTCTCTGTGCTTCCTGACTCCTATGAAGTCAGCAGCTTCCCTCTCCACACACTTCCACTTGGACTAAGCTGACCCTGGACTGAAACTTCTAGAAGCATAAGCCAAAATTAATTTTTCTTCCTAAGTCTTTTTTTTCTCAGATATTTTGTCCCAGGAACTAAAAAGTGACTAAGGCACAGGTAGAGTGGCTCTTGGTGAAGATGGCCAAGGCCCTTCACCTAGACACACTGTCCACTTGTGATTGCTAGGCCTTGTCTTTGTAAAGGGGATTTGTCTGTTTACTTGTTTATTCCTGTGACTGCATTTTTTATTTGTTGAGAACGAAATATAGAACTTTGCACTTATTTCTTCTCCCTTTGTTGGATGAGCTCCAAAGTTCCAGCCTACTAACTCACTTTCCCTCTCCAGATGCCACGTCCATCCCCCACAGCGTGCACAAACCCAGGACACAAAGAAGGGAGCCCATGTTATGGTGGGATTGTCCTAGTTCACAGTTTCCTCCAGTTCACACCTTTCCAGGTAAGTGAGTGTCCCTGACACATAGGTGTCCTAATGGGATACGCACTTCATAGAGGCCCCATGAGAGTCTTGACTGCCCCCTGCACATCGATCTCTGTGGATCACATGGCTTTCCGCATCCCATGGGATCAGGGTCTTCACAGGCTGTGGTCTGTCTGGTGGGCACTCATGAGACTTTTGCACCTCTGGAGAACTAAGGTGACACTCCTTGTGGTAGGGGGTGAGAACAGTCATGCCGAGAACCACACATCTCAGGCTGTCAGGATGTGGGACACCATTGTGGAATTTCACCTCTCCGTGGGTACACACCTGCCTCTAGGGGTGGCTTCTCCAGGGCAGGTGGTGGGTGGTTCCGGTCAGCTGGGCTCCACTCCAGGTGCGGGAAAGGGAAACAAAGGGCACAGGGCACCGCAGAGGTGAGTGTTTCTTGGGGCACTGCGGCTCCAGCACACAGGTGCTATCTCTCTGGAAACCATGGGTACCCATCGGTACCCATGACATGGGAATGACAAGTGACATCAATTGCCAGACAGCCAGCCCCTATAAGATATCATCACTGGTTCTGGTTTCTTTGCAAATGAGCTTCCACATTTGGGTTCAGATCTTTCTGAAGAGCGAATACTTAAGAAATTTTGATTTATTTTTAAAGAATTTGATTTATTTAAATTTTGATTTATTTAAAATTTGATTTATTTATTTAAAGAATGTATGAATTTCAAGTAGGTTGGCCTGAGTTAGGAAAGAAAACACAGAAGGTCCCGGTTAAATGTGACTTGCATAAAAAAACAACAAATGGTTTTTAGTGTAAGTACATCTCATGCAGTATTGGTAATGAAAAGGAAAAAAAATAAAACAAGAAATAAACACCACCACCAACAACAACATCGTTTCTTGAAATTCAAACTTAACCTGGCCCCGGGTGCCCTGTGCTTTTCCTGGAGATCCTAGTTGGTAGGAAGCTGCCTCCACACCGTATGCTATGCAGGTTACACGCTAACTCTCCTTTGGTCTTTAGCAAAATTTAATTTCCAAAGCCCAAACCATAGACCCTATCAAATTGTGTTTTCTCTAAAACTTTTCTATTTTAAAGTGAGGCTTCACAAAACTGTAATTTCTTTTTTATCAAAGCCATCTTGGGATTATGACTATAGTCAAAAATCTCCACCCTGAACAGAAGGCTGAAACAAGAAGGGAGGTACTCTGCCCAGCCTCATCTGCCACCCGAGGAAACAGGACTTCAGCTTCCACCTTAAAGACCCTGTGACTGACACAGACCCCAGCTTGGCCCGGGGGCTGGCAAACCAGCTGTGGTCACGGAACACAGCCTCATTACTCCTTTCCCTAAAGTGAATTGATAATTGCATTTTTGAGATTCTCTGAGTGACTTAGAGGAGGACAGAGGATGCTCGAGATTGAGCACTATCTCCCACGTCTCTCAAGAGTTCTGCAACAAAGCACAGCTCAAATGAGTACGTTAAACATGCAAAACTAGAGGACTTGGAGCCCCACAGAGAGGGTGACAGAGGGGATGGGTCCTGCTGAGCTTACAGACTCAAATAGAATTAGAGGGAAAAACAAAAATCAAAACAAAGAACAGGAAAGATGCCCTTTAGAAGGTTTTCCCAGCTGTGCAATATATAGCACCAGCAATAGGTGACTGCAGTTGGTACACAGATGGATTTTATTTTAAAAAACGAAAATGTTTTGATGCATATTAAGAAATATAATACACATGAAACTCTTAATTTCCTGGATTATAGACTTTGAGTGTAAAGACTATAACAGAACAGAGTGAAATTTTAATTTTTTAAGTCTGAGAGATGAATTAATTTAAAGAAAAATAAAAAATATATAAAAGCAAAATTTTTATGTTCCTTTTGCTAAAAAATGCCAAAGGGGAGTGAGTGTGCACATGTTAGAAAATGCCCCATGAGCAGGTTACTTTTGCTGAAGATCAGCAGCAAGATGCTTCCTCTAAGGAGAGGGAATTGGCATCACCTGCTCAGACTCTGGCTGCTCCAGGTGACCCTGCTCTGTCGTGGCCTCCCTAGTGCGGTGCCACCCCTTTGCAGTGTCAGATGCTCAGACAGGACATGGTCTGCTTTAACTGTAAAAGCAACAATGGCAAAGTCTCTTAATGATCAGACCACTGGTTCCAGACAGCTTTCAGACTGAAATTCTGTATATCTACGTGGGCACTATTCCTACTCGGTCCTGTGTTGTACAATTTTAAAGTTTTACACACACCCAAGAAAATCCCAGAGTAATCTTATGAAAGTTTAAACATGATGACTCTCACCTGCCTAGGATAGACTAACATAAAAATGTTAACTAATGCCAGAATTTTCCCCAAACAGTGCCAGGCCCCTCTAGCACTCAGTTTCCCACCAGCTTGCCCCTCTGTACGGTATGTAGCACTGTTCTTGACGTTATCGGTGGGTGAGCTGTTCTACTCGAGTGTGACTCACCTCTGCAACAGTAGTCCTTGGTCCTCACTCATCCCAGTGACCCCCAGGCTCCTTGCTTTGTATTTCAGCAGAAGGTTATTGACCTAGGAAGTGTTCTTTTTAACATTTTGCCTTCCAGCTAAATATCCCTAACTCTCTCTCCCGATCCATCTATATTGCAAGCACAATTCACTGCATTTTAATGAACTTTGGGAGTGCTTTTATTTTTTAACTGGTTAAAAATATTTCTAAATTTAATCTCCTCAATTAAATTGGAAAAAGCAAGATTGAATGGAAAACGCAAGAGTCAATTTACCAAAGTTTTAGCTCTGGCAACTTCCAGTAATAGATTTAAAATAGCACTAAGGATACCTTATTATGGCTGGTGCTGGGCTCATTAGTATTTGCTGGGGAAAAGTACACATTGAAATCATTACTTAAGTAAGAATGAGACCATGTCCACATGGTCAACCTCATTAAAATCGGTCAATTTCAAAAGGTTGAATAGACTCCTATTTTATGGGGGAAAGGCCCTGGGAAATGACGAAGGTGTGGAAAAGTCCCAAATAAGATTTCTAGACCCTGCACCAGCATAGTCCAGGGATGAGGTCACCCAGAGAACAGGCCACAGACAGCCACACACTGAAGACCCTCAACTGCCGTGATGGAGACCCTGTGTTGATTTACCCAAAGGGATCCTTTTTCTCCTGTGCTGGTGTTGAACCCAGGGCCTCTGTAATGCAGGCAGTCACCCTGCCACTAAGGTTCACCCCAGTCTCAAAAGTAGTCTAGAAGGAGGGAGACATTATGCTGTGAATATTAACAAAGTCTGGTCCAAGTCGTGCTTTTCTGACATTTTTCTTTCCCACTGAGACTGTGACCTTGAGCTTCTGCACTCTATGTCCACCTGCCTTTATGCATCTTCCACCCAAACCTCCCCCAGATCCCAAGGACAGCTCCTGTGTACCTTGGGCACCAACAGAGTCATTTCTCCAAATTGGTTTCCATCTTCATAGGCTGTTGTGCCTGAGACCTGTCCTGTATCGATGGACGCTGTTCATGCAGCTCTTTATTTGCACCAGTCTGAGTTTGATGCTCTCAAACATGTTTATGTTCATTTATGGAGACCAGTTGCCACCAAGCCTTCTTGTCAGTAGGAGTGGGACCAGATGCACCTTCGGTTCTCCAAGGCCTCGGCAGCCCCAGGCAGAGGGCAGCAGGAAAGCGATTCCTTGGTTTAAACCTTGAGTTCAGGTCCGTACAGAGCAGCAGGGAGCAAGCAACATGGCAATGGGATAAAATAGAGGGATTTTTCAGAATTAGAATGATCAGAGCTATTTGGCAGAATGACTTGAGCAACATCTATCACCCACTCAAATTTTACCAAGGAAGCAATCGATGTCCTCCTTTATGAACACCAGGGTCCTGAGATGTGACCTCCAGCAACACTGAAAGTGAAGGTAGTGAAGTGATCGTAGTGAAGAATTCAGTGTTGCCCAGGAGAGATCTGGTCAGCCTCCACCCCTGGGAGGTAACCCACTTGCTCTCATGGAAACGCCCACTGGTTGCCTGGCAGCCATAGTGAGCTCAGGACCCTGCTCACTGGCTTCACTCTTTTGGTGACAGACAGCTGTTGGCCCTTACTCATCACCTGCAGGATGCAAGGACTGGCTGTGAAGGTGGTCGGGAGTCTCAAGTCCTAGTTATGCCACCAACTTTCTGGTGGCAAGGGACCAACAACCCATTAGTTTTATTTCTCATCCATAAAAGTAGAAATAACATGAAGTCCACCAGCTCCTCAAAATGATATCATGGAAATACCGTGATTAATAGAAAAAACACGGCGTCCATGGTGTGCTCAAGGGAAGGGAAGGCCAGTTTGAAGGTCCGAGGAAGGAGGGCCACCAATATAGTTTTCCCATGAGCCAAGCAAGTGGAGAAGAGGATGAGACGGGTGGAAGAAGCCAAAGCAGAGATCTTGAGGTAGAACTGCCATTGGGGAAGCTATATTTTCAGAGGAGGGCACCGAGGCACAGTCATGTGCCCAAGATCACTCCCTGAGCAAGACCACACACAGTCACAGATGCCAGATCTGAAGAAAACTTTCCCAGGGGATGTCCAGAAAGCCTGGAGGGGGCGTGTGTTCAGAGGGGACGTGAGCTACAGCCATGAGCTCAGGGGTGAACTGAGAGCTCTTGATGTGTGGCCTCTGAACAGAACCTTCTTGTTTGCAAGTGGAGAGAGAAGACAAGGAAACACACAAACCATATTAATGGCCCCATCTCAGTCTTTGATAAAGACAAGGACCAGGGGAAGGACCAGCAATGGTCTCAGCACTCTGGTCTCCATCTTTTGAGACCGAGTCGAGGATCTTGAGTAGAGGCTGTTTAGGTGTGAGGTGTCTCCCAAAGCTCATGTGTGCGAAGGTGCAAGAAATTTCAGAGGTGAAAGGATTAGATGATGAGAGCTGCAGTCTGATGCTGCTATAAACATTGATGTGGTTATGTCACTGTAGCGTGCTGTTTTAAATCCTTTGAATATAAGCTGAGGAGCAGGATAACCAGGTCTAATGGTGGTTCCATTCCTAGTGTGTTGTGGAACTTTCCCTAGTGAGCAGAGCGCTCTCTCTGCTCGCTGATAATTCTATTCTGAGCTGCTTTTCTCTGCCACATCCTTCCACCATGATGTTCCG